CTGGAGGATCGGAGCGTGGAGGGGCGGAAATCCCTGCGGGGAGCCGTGACTGGCAGTCACAGCTCTCTGCAGGGAGATGATAGAGAAGTGATCGAGCGACTGTATGTGTTTGCTCGCTTTCCGATCTCTTGAGCCGTCGTGTGACAGTTTCATTGTAACACATCGGCTCGAACTATGAGGATGAGTCATTTTCACTCACCTCATAGTTCTCCTTTAATTTCATGTTTTTGCGGTCCAGTCGATACATGCTAGATAAGTGCTTGTACTTGGTTTCATTTCCACTGTAGATGTAAGATTTAAAGCACCACACCAATTAAAATAGTCCAGATACAACTTTATTCCACTAGGGTCAGGGGACAATTGAGTAGAAAAGCCAATGTGTTTCAGGGCTCCAAAACACACCCCGTTTATCAGGGCTTAATGAGAGAAATCATGTATATGGACTACAATCCCTGCAGCTTGAAATTTCTATTAAACTGTGATGGGAATACTTCAGGCTTGTCAGCAGCTGATTTAGTGGCCTAAAGAAATGCAGCTTGTTGCTTATGAGAATGGCATAGGGATAGATTTACCAAAGGCAAATATGCTATTCCCTTAGTTTAGTAAAGGAGGTGAAGTTCTTTTGACTTCCATCATCCAATCACATGGAAGTAAAAAAAAACTTTTTTATTCTTTTCCTTGCATGTGATTGGGTATTTTTTGCAAAGTGAAGGAAAAATTCCCTTGCAAAGTGAACAGCCTATCTGCCCTTAGTAAAGAAAAAGCCCAAAGAATGGTGTACTGTAGACATTTTCATTAAGTAGAGCAGGGGTAGGCAACTTTGTAACTCCAGCTGTTGTGGAACTACAAAACCCATGAGGTATTGCAAGATGCAATAAAAGTCACATGCACGGCTCCCAGAGGTAGATGCATGATGGAGTATGTCATTTTACCATAAGTGTAGAGGTTGCCTACCCCTGTAGTAAGGCTTAACAAAGAACTATGGGAAAAACCCAATCTTAATCTTGCTGTAGGGCTTCCCTCACTCTGCAAGGGTTAAGTACTCATATTGTCTATGGGTACTCAGATAAAACAAATTTACTTTGGCTCCTCTCAGGCTGCTAGACTAGTCCCTACATCCTCTTCTTCCCTGGGCTCTGGGGTTCTAATGACTGCTGACAACATCAAGGCTTATGTAGTACCATTGACCTGCATTAGACGTGAGGACACCGAGGGACATTCCATAGCCAGAGAGGAAGGGGAGAGAGGTGAGTACTGACCTCCATGGGACTGAGGATCAAGACAAAACAAGTACTTAACCCTTGCGGAATGATTCCTCTTTAAACTAAAATTGGAAGACTGCTTTATCAAATTGTAATGTGTGAACAGCTCAAGAATAATCCTGATGTACTGTATGGTAATGATGGGTTTTCTGTATTTACTTTACTCAAGAACTTTGCAACTTCAGAGTGAAATGGCAAATTTTGATGTGGTAAAGTTTAAATTATGGTAAATGCTATTGATAAAGGTGAAAGTACAAATCAACCAGCAACTTCCTTTTTACATCTGGGTACTCAAATATGAAAATACCAACTTAATAATGATAAGTTAAGGGCTGGCCCACCCCCGTTCAGCCTCTGGTAGCTCCCTGGTGGGGCCCCCTTTAATGCTGAGTAGCTAATCTTTATTTGCAGTAATCAACATTTTGCTCTGAAGTCAGTATTTACATATTACATTTGTTGGAAATACAACAGCCCATGCTGATATGTACTGGTTTGTATTACTGACATTCAGAGATGTAGCTATGTCTTTTGAGCACTAGATGGCGTAGGTAGTGCAAGTCTAGTCTTTGCTAGTTTTCTATATGCATGCTTGTCTGTGATACACAGGAAGTTCTATCTGTATATATGTTTCCCTCTCCACTATGCTGTGTTCCTGTATTCTCATGTAATGTCCTGCTAAGCAAGTAAAACTTAATTCAGTATTCCTCAAGATTTCAGTGCTTTATCTAAACACATAACCAACACTATCCCAGAAGGTATATGCAGGCACCTCGGGGTACATCCACTTGAGTCAGGCTTCTCATTTAGATAGGGAAATGGAAAATACTATGTTCAATTGCAGCAAGGTACAAATCCCATCCCAGTTGGCACATGTGAGCCTGGTGGACTAGTATGTAAGGTTTAAAGATTTGTTACCTAAAATTAACATTTTTAGAAGTGGATTCTATAAATGCATTTACAGATGTTTACTGTGTATTGTATAAATGCCTTCTTTTCTGGCCATGCCATTCACGTTCCACTCAGCAATAAGATGTCAGTTATCATTTGTTTACACTCTTTTGTTCAGACTACAAATCTTTCTGGTTGCTACAACTAATACAAATAGTTTTTTCGTATTGTATGATAAACCTTTCTTTTGGAATAGCCTTGTAACTTATTCGTTCAATTTTATTTTATGAATAACAAATATATATTTCCTTCTTAATATATTTCTATATGCCTATGAAAATAAATAATGTTCAGCAGGTTTGGAAAAAAATATTCAGCTAAAGTTACCAGATTTTAAAAATGAAATCTGAAGAAAACCTACTGATCACACCCACGTTTACCGCATGCAAATGACAGCTGAATTTGTAGCCACACCTACAAAAATCACTTCCCCATTGTTTCAAACGGTCTCAAACAATTGAGCGTAGTGTGCTGTCTGACGAACACCATTCCCACAGGTACATCACTGCCAACCAGTAGAGTCACATTAGAAATCATGAAGTCCATTACAGGCTACCAGACAGCCCCCAACCCCATCCACAGGCAGCCACTGATGGGCCCTGGCCCCCATACTAACCAGATGTGGTCCAGGCTGGTTTCGGGAGTCCTGCCTGTACCCCCCATATTAGCAGCCCTGACATCATAATGATGGGCCCCCTTAGAACTATTTTTTACTATAGACTTGTCTACTTTGCATTTAAGTATTTTCCATAATGACTGTGAATAAATGTGAAAACCAAATGACATTGGTTTGTTTAAGGCATACTAACCTCATAAAATTGCTTGTGTTGTATGCGTGTTGTTGTCCTCATTGTGGTTATTAGTAAGAGTAGTATTTCTTGTATATGTCAGATAACCTATAATAATATCACTTATTGAAAAAAAGTCTATAAGGGAGTTCAATTTCATAAAACATTAATGAGTTTAAAGTGTAAGTCCATCCTAACTTTTTTCATTGTTTTGGATAGAGTGGGGAAGATTTCGAACCCCTATCAGGTTTTTACTGCTATCCAGAGCTCCAGTAAAAAGATTACCCTCTGTCTATCCTGCTAACAATGTTTTAGCATACAGGAAGTAAGGGTAACTCTAAAACAGCAACAAAGACAGAAATAAAATGCTTTACTTTAGTAGAGTAGAGCAAACCTGGTCCAAACCTGAGCTCCTTCAAAACCAGACGGAGCTTCTCCCAAACACAGAAGAAAGCTCCTTGCATACCACCCAATCAGCAGTGGGTGGGAAATTAACATAAGGGGACAGGATGCATTGGTCTTAGATGGCTACATGCCTATGTTTGGTAAATTACATATGATTAATATGTGGCCATATAAGGTAAATTATGTCAGCACAAGCATCCGACAGCTTTGTTTACATGCAATTGCGGGGTGGGGAATGACCAACCTACAGCTGATTGGATTGAAGTGACCATGGCACTTCCTTGTTCAAATAAGCTCAGGTTCAAATTGAGTTCGGTCCAAACCTGAGCTCATATCTGCTTTCATTCAGGTGCTGTCAGCAGAACAGAAAGTGAGGCTCCCTGGATAGCAGTAAAACGCTCACAGGAGTTGTTATCTTTCCCCACGTTATCCAAAACAAAAAAAAAGGTTCTGGCTTGACATAATCTTTAATAGTCACATTTATAAAGATTATACAAAATATCAATGTTTTATTCTTCTTTAGAAAGTTTAGAAAAGCCTAGAGAAAGTTTGTTTATTTACTGTAGATGATAAGTAAATGCAGTCAGTGGGCAAAAGGGATGATATATTTTACACAAACTGACTTTAAAAATGAAAAAAATTTATTTTTCAGTTTTAGCTAGAGTGTTGTTAAACTTGGTCAGGTTTTGATTGGAAGTGAAAACATTGAACATTTGGTAGGATCAACAAGCAATAAAATTATGTTATGGGGGGACAAAATTCAAAGTGGCATAAATGCTGCAGTCTAATACCATCAATACAGCAATAGTTTTTTGTTTTGTTTTTTTATCCTGCCAGTAGAGCTGTCATTTCTTTACTTTCTGTAATAGGGTGACAAAGGCTGTTTGTTCTGCGGTAAAATTGCACAGCTAATACTTTTAAGTGGTTCAGGCAACAGGTTTTCTTTTTACAATTTTTGGTGGAAAGTTTGGACGCTTACAGAAAGTGGGAAAATAACATCTACTGGCAGAATTAACATGTAATAACACATGTTACGGGGATATACAAAACCAAAAATGGTTGTGTTAATAGTTTTGATGAACTACAGCACATATACCATTCTACATTTTGCCTCTTACTTACAGTATCTTAATTCGTATGTAAATTATGTTTACCACTGACTGCGTGTGTGCCTTATTTTAAGTTCGTTCTCCTAACCCAAACATCTATTATAGCCTCTTGAAATCCTATATACATATTCATATAAACATTAAAAGAAACACATTGTGAAATATTTTACATTTTTTTATATCCACAATTGATCCAGATAAAATCATATCTCAAGTATTGTCTTGGAAAATAAATGTCAGGCACTGCAGTTCCCCAATTCAACCTCACAGCGCCGCTGTTGACCAATAACGAAAAAACCTGAGATCCAGAAGCACCTCTATCAAGCAGACAGTACACAATTACAAGGAAAATACAGAGCATTTCTGTATGGGATGTGACTGCTGCAGGTCTCATAGAAGAAGGTCTGTGTTCTGACACTTCATCTCAATTATTCCTCCAATTATTTCATTTACAAGTTTCCAGCAAGAAAAGCAATATCTGACTGAAGATGCAGCATGGACAGACACTACAAAAATTCAGATGGCAAGTAATGATTTCTTTATTTTTCTGGCTGTGCCATTCAGTTACAGGTCAGATTCATTATTCCATTGTAGAAGAATTGAGAAAAGGTTCACTCATTGGACATTTAGCAAGAGATCTAGGAATGAATATTAAGGATCTTTCAGTAAGAAAACCCCGTATTGTTTCACGTTTGTCTGAAAAATATTTCAGCATAAATCTGGATAATGGTAATCTATATATTGCAAGCAGGATAGACAGAGAGACACTGTGTGGGGATGCAGATGATTGTGTCCTGACCTTTGATGCTGTGGCTGAGAATCCCTTAAATGTTTTTAATGTTAAGATTGAAATTCAAGATATAAATGACAATCCACCAAGATTTCTCTATGAAACAATTAGATTGGAAATAAGTGAATCTGCTTCACCAGGAGCAAGATTTGTTTTGCAGAAAGCTGAAGATTTGGATATAGGAATGAATACAATAAAAAGCTACAAACTCAGTTCAAATGAGCACTTTGTCTTAGAAGAAAGGATCAGCTCTGATGGCAGTATATTTCCTGAACTCGTTCTAGAAAAGCCTCTAGACCGAGAGACACAAGATTACCATGAACTAATTCTATCAGCTGTTGATGGAGGGAAACTTGTTCTAACAGGGAGCACACTGATTAAGATTGCTATCACTGATTTTAATGATAATACACCTATATTTACCCAAGAAGTATATAAAGTAAGCATTAAAGAAAATATACTATTGAATTCTACAGTTTTGCAGGTCAGTGCAACTGATGGGGATGAAGGTGTAAATGCACAAATTACATATTCGTTTAGTACCATGGCAAATAATATTCTGCTGATGTTTGAAATGAATCCTAGAACTGGCGAAATTTCAACAAAAGGACACGTGGATTATGAACTTACAAAACATTATGACATTTCTGTGCAAGCCATTGATGGTGGTGGACTGGCTGCACATTCCAAAGTATTAATAGAAGTATTGGATCAGAATGACAATGCTCCTGAGATCTCCATCACCTCCTTGACTACTCCTATCCCTGAAAACACAGCTTCTGGAACAGTGGTGGCCTTGATTGAAGTTCATGACCAAGATACAGGAGAAAATGGGGAGGTTCAATGTGTTATCACAGGTGATGTGCCATTCCAAATACAGTCATCTGCAAGCAATTTCTATAAAATCATTACAAAAAGTACTTTGGATCGAGAAAAAATGTCATCCTACAACATTACTGTTCAAGCTTCTGACAAAGGCTCACCTCCAATGACTGTTAAAAAAGTTGTGCAACTAGATGTGTCTGATGTCAATGATAATGCTCCTGAGTTTCAGAAGCTGACTTACACTGCATTTGTTCCAGAAAACAATTTGCCAGGAGCTTCAATATTCAGTGTTCAAGCAAGAGATATAGACAGTGGAAATAATGCCAAAGTAGTTTATTCCATAAGTGGTATCAGCAATGATAAAGATCCAGTGTCCTCTTTTATATCCATTAACCCAGAAACTGGAGTTTTTTATGCACAACGCACATTTGATTATGAGTTGCAAAAGGAATTTATCTTCCAGGTCAATGCCAAAGACAATGGGAACCCATCTCTGAACAGCAGCACAACTCTAAGAATGTGTGTAGTAGATCAGAATGATAATTCACCAACCATTTTGTATCCATCATCAGATGCTGATAGCCCTGCCTTTGAGTTAGTGCCATGGTCCTCTGAACAAGGTTCTTTAATATCCAAAGCGGTAGCTGTGGATGCTGACTCTGGACACAACAGCTGGCTCTCTTATTTTTTGCAAACGGCTGAACCATCTTTTTTTACCATTGACCAACACACAGGGGAGATCAGGACATCTCGTGTTTTTCAAGAGAAAGATATTTTAAAGCATAGCATTGTTATTATAGTAAAAGACAATGGCTCCCCACCTCTCTCTGCTTCTGCCACTCTAAACCTGTTGATTGCGGACAACTTTCAGCAAGTAATTCCAGAAATTACCGATCAGACAAGTAAATCAGAGTCCCAGTCCAACTTACAATTGTACCTGGTAATAGCCTTGGCATTGATTTCTTTTCTCTTCATGTTGACAGTGATACTAGCTATCATATCCAAATATCGAGTGTCCAAGTCTCCCTCTTCATTTGGATCTTTGGCTGCAAATCTCTATCCTACAATTGATCCCAGATTTCTTTCTCAGTTTAATAGTGGAACATTACAACTGCCTTACTCGTATGATGTTTGTGTAGCGTTGGATTCAGCTGAAGGAGACTTTGCTTTCCTTAGACCTCAGTCCAGTGTTCCAGTGGATCATCTCATTGATACTGATGATTCTGGGATTGGAATTGAAAACTCAAAGGATTCTTTACTTGCAGGCAATATCACTTCTCAGGTATGCTTTTCATAACATTAGAATACAGTTTAACAGAGAAACGGTTTTGTACAAATTAGCTTAAACGTCTTCATTTCAAACAAACAATAAGGTTTATTAAAGAGCTAATCTAAAATGACAGAAAAACCATAATATAGTTACATAGTATTTGAGGTCGAATAAAGACATTAGTCCATCAAGTCCAACCTATTAGGATCTCATTCTAGGAGTACCTGTACCCCTGTATATTACGGTCCCTTAAGAAATCGTCCAAAAGTTTCTTGAACAATTCCACATTATTTGCTGAAATCACCGCCTGTGGCAGTGAGTTCCAGACCCTAACTGATCTTACTGTGAAGAACCCCCTTCGCCCCTTGTGCTGGAATTTTTTTTCCACCAATTTTAGGTGATGGCCTCTAGTTTTTGTAACGGAGTTAATTTTAAACAGTTTATCGCTAATGTTGCTACCACCATTAAACATTTTGTACATGGAAATCATATCCCCCCTTAATCTCCTCACCTCTAATGTGAACATGTTTAAATTTAGTAGCCTCGTCTCGTAGCTCTGGTCCTCCATACCCCTAATTAGTTTGGTTGCCCTTCGCTGGACTTTTTCCAACTCAAGGACATCTTTTCTTAGTACTGGTGACCAGAACTGGACCGCGTACTCCAGATGAGGTCGAACCAATGATCTATAAAGTGGCAAAATTATAGACTTGTCCCTGCAATACATCCCCTTTTTAATACAGGACAAGACCCTGCTAGCTTTGTTTACAGCAGCCTGGCACTGCAAACTACCTTTCAGTTTGTGGTCTACAATGACCCCCAAATCCTTCTCCATTTCTGACTTCCCCAGCGGCATACCCATAATTGTATAACCCATTTGTTTATTTTTAATTCCAAAGTGCATTACTTTGCATTTATCGACATTAAACCTCATCTGCCACATTAATGCCCACTCCCCTATTTTATCCAGGTCCTCCTGTAATGTTATAGTGTCTAAGTCCGTGTCTATTACCCTCCCTATTTTGGTGTCATCCGCAAACACGGAAATATCGCTGTTAACACCCTCCCCGATGTCATTAATAAATAAGTTGAACAATATGGGACCCAGCACAGAACCCTGAGGCACACCGAGTATATTTTACTAAATATGATCCCGATTCAAGAACACTGGAAAAAAAGTGAATAAACCCAAATTCACAATCCTTACAGAACAAGCATAATAATTTTTGGGGAAATAAAATAAAGCTGAAACCTGAATGGTCACTAAAGGTAACAAAATCCAGTTTTGTGCTCTCTGCATTGGTTCATGCCTCTAGAGGCCTGTTTAGCTTTACAGTATATCTAAAGCCAAAATGTTGTTAAGTTTTGGTTTGAGTAGGAAATGGTTAAAGCCCCTGAATTTTTTTATGTTTTTTCTGCTGCGTCCATTTGGAAAGGTCAAAAATCCAGTGTACCCATCGCACTCCTGACCAAATAATACCCTTAGAGTCGAGTGGGTGCCAAAGTGATTGCAGATGCCTCTGCAATCCAAGATAATTGTGTGTATAAAGTCATTTGCACTCCAGCGAGTGATTTTATACATACACATTTGGAAAGGCCTCTCCTCAGTTCCTCTCCTTATGATATACAGCAAACAATCCAGATGTGATCATGTCAGAAAATACACACAATTTATTTAATCAGAGAAATCTTTTTTTCTCCTGTAACCAGGCATCATGTGACATCTGGGAAATGTAGGGAGAGAGTACTTCCTGTTGCATTTTTTTGTGGGGCTTCCTCTCTCTCTACTCTTCTTGTATCACCCATGTCATTCAAACTTTCAAGGCACACTTCAGTTTGATTGGCAGCTGAGAAAGACCCTTCATACTGATATTTCTGTATGTGAAAGACAGCAATGTGACTTCAGTGGATGTGTTTAAGTATACGTCACCTGCATCATAAGTAATAGTTGTAAAAATTACCAGATTATTAAGAGAAGGAAGTGGGAGGCACTGATGCACTTCAGCAATGTCTGGATGAAAAATTGAAGAAATGTTAATGTTTCGTTTTTGAGTAGAGTTTATGAAAATAAATATGCCCTGTGAGTGTTTCTCTATGACTACTGTAGAAGTTGTCCCATTTAACTCTACCAGGTGTATGAACAGATATGAATGGTCTGTGTATGCTGCACATCTCTACACAATATATTAGCACTATATATTAGAATATGATAATTAATTAATAAAAAGTGTCATAATAAGGTAAATGTTTGCTTCAACTACAAAACTAACCCTGGGATAGAAAAACGGTATACCTAAAATAGGGTGCCTTTTTTACTTGTGTTCAGGGGCGGAACTACCGCCATAGCAACCCATGCGGGCGCTATGGGGCCCGCACCAGAGGGGGGCCCGGTCAGGAGCAGGAGGGAGGTTTAGGGGTCCTTAATTTCCGTGCGGCCGCAAGTCAAACACTGCACGGTCGCACGCAACCTAAGGACACTTAACCTGCAATCCTCTCCCCTGCCACAGTCACAGTGTAGAGTGGGGGAGGGCAGAATTATCTCCTGTCTGTGCTCGGCTTTAGGAGATTAGGAGAAGCAGCGGAGTGCAAGTGTGATCTGGACTGCTGGCAGGTAAGGGGGGGGGGCAGGGACTGAAGCCTTTGTTCTCACATTCATTGAGCTGCAGGAGCCATTAACACTGGCCGCGGCAAATTCATATGCTAATTACGGTATTTGCATAATAATGAGCCGCGGTATTCATATGCAAATCCCGCCATTCCTCATTATTATTCAAATCGCCCTTCACACTCCAAGGCCACTTAATGAGGGGGGTGGGACAGGGGGGAGTCAGGTCCTAAAGTTGCGTAGAGAAAAAAGGGTTACGGCTTGTTCACACCATATACAGTGCGTTTTAGTGCGGTTAGCTGCTGGACATTATAACCCCCTCTTGTGTAATTGTAAATCCCATATTCCCAGCTTTATTGGTGGAACTGTTAAAGAATTAGGCCTCGTTACACATGACGTTCTGGCATTCCTGCAGCAGAAACATACAGATTATTGTGACAAGAATGTCAGGTGTCCCACTTAGATGTGGCTGCTGTACCCACTGAAGTTAATGACCAGGTGATAGCGGCCATATCTGTAAGCGGCAGTGCGCACGTAATGTGTGTGATATGATTAAATGCAGTTTTGAATAGATCACTGTCTCTGGATGTACGTATCCTGCATTCAGGGACAGTGATCTATTGCAAACTGCATTTAATAATATTGTATAATAATAATATATGCTGTAGTTCAATTTTTGCTATGGGGCCCTGTGATTTCTAGTTACGCACCTGCTTGTGTTGTGGAGTTTGGTTGGTTCTTTGCATACTTCTAAGGCAGCCACTGTCAAGCGCAGGAGCATGTGTCTTCTGTAATAATTAGGATTGACAGAGACTTGTATTGCACGATCAGTATGGCATTGCAGTGCTTTTTCTATTTTACTGTCCCAATGTTATTGCTATGTACCATGGCGCCTTACAATGTTTCACAGCATCCTAAATTTTTTTAGTGCACATCAAAAGAGCATATTGGTGCGAACAGAAGGAATAAAACATAAGGCAAATTACCTTCTTCTTGTGTTGGGACTTCACATGTCAATGCAGCCTAATACTTCTGAAGTAAATAGGCCCTCAATATGTTCAACTGTGTAGATTACTTAGCAGAGTGGGCATTACCATCCCATGAAAGTGAAAGATCTAAAGATCTACAGAACACAGATACGGGTTTGCAATCAGTTGTAGCTTCATAGTTTTATCCATAACTATATAAAGTGTGATTTATATTGTGGGTTTTTTTTTTACTGCTATCGGTACCTCCATATCTGCGTAGGGGGAGATATGTACCATCAGATTTTTATTTCTGTTTGTGTCCCAAATTTTACCTCACTTTCTATCTGTCAGCAGTAATAACCTGACAAGGGTTATAATCCTTGCCAACTTTATTGGAAGCTAAAAATAATTATTACAATGTGATATACTATGTAATAGCAACATTTATAATTATTTCCTGTTTTATTTTTATTTTTTGTAAAGCTCTACATAAAGTTTGTTTTTTACTGTAGACGATAAGTAAATCAAGTCAGTAGACAAAATGTATAACATATTCTAGACAAACCAATTTTAAAAATAACATTTACTTTACTTTCTTAAAAAGGCATAAAGTATATTGATTACTTAGAAATTGTATGCAGCTCTTACCTTTATAGTTATACCTAATGCAGATAAATGTTTAATTTTACAATTCATCACTTTCTTAAAATGAAAACAGAGAAACTCTTTAAAGTGGCATTCCAGCCAAAACATTTCTTTTTTAGTTTTGAGTAGTGTTATTAAAATCTTTCAGGTTTGTACTGGAAATTATTATTTTTTACTCATGGCAGGATCAGCAGGCAATAACATGATGTTGAGGGGACTAAATGCAAAAATTGCATATATGTTTTAGTCTGTCACTAGCATTAACCCAACCATTTTTATTTATCTGTTGATCCTGCCAGTACAGCTTTTATTACTTTTCTTCCTGTAATAGGGTGACAAAGCTGTCCGTTCTCCAGTGAAATTGACCAGCAGCATTGTGACCCTGTGGCCTAGATGGTAATTGCTTGTTGCTTGGCGGGATAGGGGCTATTCTGGTACTGACTACCTCTACAACAAAATCTCACCATTTTTTGATTGAAAAATATAATTTATTAATGTAATAAAATATACAAAAACAAGCTATACATTCGGGGTACATTCTACCTCGTACTGCGACGCAGCGCATAAACACCACATAGCAATACAGCTCAATCACACAATAAATTACATTCGCACTGCGGCGAGATGCCTGACATGTAGCGCCTGACAAATCCTGAGCCCTCCACGTCATTCATGACACCGCATTACCCCGTACTGAGTCTGTGGTCCGTAGGATCAACATCAATTACCTTCAACTAATTAAACCGCAATAAACCTTGCGGCACCATTGTCCTGCCCAAACGTAGCCACTACTGTCTTCAACAGCTCACTTT